CACTTGTCATCATGGTACTTTCCTTAGTTTGCAGGCTTTCTTTTGCATCCACGTGGCAATTTCTTCTCCTCCTCCCTCCTTCATCCTCTCTCCTCCCTTCTCCCTTCCCCTTCCTCCCTCGTCATCGTTCTCCTCCTCTTCCTCGCTCCTTCGCCCTAGTTTTCCTCCTCCCTCGTGCTTGTCCCCATTCTTCTCTTCCCCCCTCCCTTGTCTTTCTTCCATCCCTCGTCGGTCTGTCTTCCGTCTCCTTTTTTTTTTTTCGTTCGATTACGAAATCCGTCGTCATCGTTCTCCCATCCTCGCTCCGTCTGCCATCTCCACTTACCTCCCTCTGCCATGTCCACTCCCTATGCCATCCCCACTTCGCTCTTTTCTCGTCGTTCCTCCATCCTAAAATCGCATTTCGCTTTCTTTTGGTGCGACTGCCTTGATTGGGTGGTGGCCGATTTTCTTTTTCTTTTTGTGTTATTTATTATTGTTAAGTTTTTGCTGAAAGCTTTCTGTTAGATTGAGTGCCTTGATTGGGTGATCGCTGCAGAAATTTTGGGGCGGAATAGGGGTTGTGGGGGGGGAAACGGGGTTGGGGGTGCTGGGGGGTATTGGGGCTGAGGTAGGGGGGCTAGGGGAGAGGGAGGAGGAGGGGGGTTTGGTCCGTTTGGAGGGCGTGCATTGGGGGGTGCTCCAAGAGCGACAGAAGGGGCTGACGAAAGGGTTGTTGATGGACTGTATGTGCGCAGGAAAAATGGCTCTTGCGAAGGTGGTAATTGCGCACAGCTCAAGAGGCATGACGAAGGGGCATAAGCACCGGGAAGGACGCGAAGAAGGGGCACAGGCCTGATGACCAACCCCCCCCCAAAAAAAAAAAAATACAAATTGATATGTGCAGCATGCGTACCAATGCGCTCGCCCTGCGCACCTTCCAGCGCACTGGCGCACAGCGCGTTGAAGTGCCGCGCAGCGCACGGCGCATAGCGCATCCCGCATCAGTGCCCGCGCATCGCGCATCAGTGCCCACACCGCCGGGGGGCGCGCAGCGCACCACACGCCGCAGCGCATTGCGCACCGCATAGGTGCGCCGCAACTATGGTCAGCACCTATTTCATACGACACAGACCATCCTATCTTGGAGGATCCCCCTCAGACAGCCCCTACTGCAGGTTCCCCAATGATCTCCTCCACCAGAGTCTGTCTGCTAACACTCCTCCTAACGGGATCCCTTAAACCACCAGTACTTGGCCCAGCTATTGATTCCGAGCCAGGAAATGCCCTGCACGCCAAGTTTTGCCGAGCCGCCGCTGCGTCGTTTCTTTTCTCTTTTGGCTGGCGCCTCCAGCCATTGTGGTCCGGTAGGCCGAAGCCTATCAGTCGCGGCGCGTTAACGGGAAACGGCCACGGCCGATGTATGGGCCAAGTAGTGGTGGTTTAAGACCATCCCCTACTCAGTCTGTAGGTTCCCCACCAGAGAGAGAGAGAGAGAGAGAGAGAGAGAGAGAGAGAGAGAGAGAGAGAGAGAGAGAGAGAGAGAG